TGGTAAAACAGAATACATGTGTATGAACAAGAGGGAGGGAAGTAGAACAGTGAGGTTACAGGGGGCTGAGGTCAAGAAGGTGCAGGATTTTAAGTATTTGGGGTCAACAGTCCAGTGTGATGGGGGGTGTAGGAAAGAGGTGAAGAGGTGCGTGCAGGCAGGTTGGAGTGGGTGAAGAAAGGTGTCAGGAGTGTTGTGTGACAGAAGAGTGTCAGCAAGAATCAAAGGAAAGGTGTACAAGACAGTAGTGAGACCAGCTATGCTGTATGGGTTAGAGACTGTAGCAGTGAGGAAAAGACAAGAGGCAGAGATGGAGGTAGCAGAAATGAGGATGTTGAGGTTCTCTTTAGGAGGGACCAGGATAGACAGGATTGGGAATGAGCACATCAGAGGGACAGCTCAGGTCGGCTGTTTTAGGGACAAGGTCAGAGATGTGCAAAGGAGGGATAGTGGTTATATTGGTAGAAGGATGTTGGAGATGGAGCTGCCAGGCAAGAGGTCAAGAGGAAGGCCAAAGAGGAGATATATGGATGTGCTAAAAGAGGACATGAAGTTAATTGGGGTGAGAGTAGAGGATGCCGAGGATAGAGTTAGGTGGAAACAGATGATTTGCTATGGCGACCCCTAATGAGAACAGCTGGAAGAAGAAGAAGAAGAAGATGTACTGTGCATTACATATACAGTATGAGGTTACAGGCAGTGCAAAAATGCATAACAGTCAAACATGCCAGAATGAATACATGTACAGAGGTGGTTTTATGTGTTGGTGGTACATGTACGCATACACAGTCTGCTCAGTCTTAAATGTACGAACAAAAAAAACCCCTAAAGCTCAATGTTCACTTCTGATTAGTGATATTACAGCCTAAAGATGGGCATGCTCAGGGAAGTATGTGCTGTTTGCCCTGCCTCAGCTTAACCCTTGTTGACCAAATTAGGATTTTCAAGAACAATATTAGTAGGAAGAAAGAAAATAGTGAGATTGTAGATGGTCACCTTGTCTGTAGGCAGTCCCAGGGGCAGTGTCAGATTCAAACAACAGCCCGGCATCATAAAACACACTCATACTGTTCTTCCCTCCACCTGGTGTGCAGCCTGTGTCGTACTTCTCTACAGCGTCCCACACCTGAGCACATGCAAATACAATCAGACAAGGCTTAGGGTTATGCCATATAGAATATGCAGTTAAAGTATATCGCCCATTAATCCCACAATAAAGAAACTATTGCCTTTTTCTGGGTGAGGCGGTGCTTGTTGTTTAGGACGTAGACACCTTTGTCAACTGCTACCAGTCCCACTATGGCCTCTGGATCTCCTGTCACCTTCAGACCAAATGTTGAACGAGGAATATAGGACGCAGCAGGTCGTAAAGGGTCCAAATTCAGCTAAAAATGTTAGGAGGAGCAATGGAAGAAACATGTAGATTTGTATTTGTTAAAACAACTATACGTGAACAGTACAAATAACCAGTTTGGGTTACATTATTTGTCCACTTATGTGTCTCACCGTGCCCATGCAGGAGTCCTTGACATCCACCCAAACAGAGTCTGATACCACTTCATTGTCATTTGTGTGGTAGTAGGCTACAATGCGGAAAGATGGTAGCATGTCTTTGGTGATGGAAACTATCAGGGAAATCATTAGTTGACCTTTTATCCTGTAACGGTCATGTTTCACCAGCCGACCTCTGCTCAGGATCTAGGAACACAGATTCTCTCTAACATACATACATACATACAGTACTACATAGGCTTCAAAATCAACACAAACACCCACAAGCATGTGCACAAATGCATACATTCACAGGTGTAAAACATCTCTCACCAGATATGTCATGTCATTTTGTGGGTTTTCTGGCTTATTGAGGTTGATGTTGACTTTCATGTTGTCTCCTAATTTTACTTCTGCTGTATCAACACCTGCAATAACAACATTTGAATTAACAAAATTAACATGAAAAAAATATTGTATAGTAGTTTGACGGCACTGCCGCCATTACCACCATTATCACTACCTATTTGATATTATTTTAGTATGTACCTATGTGGATGTAACTTTTGCTGTTAGTTCTATATGGAAGAGCTGTCATGGTGGCCGATGCTTGCCTTTCAGGTGAAATACCAGGATCCTTTGTCTTTGCCTACAATTAAACACAGGTAAGTATACACACAATCACATAAAGTTACATAGTTTAGATTATGCCTCAATAATTCATGGTACAACTTGCAAATCCATGCCTTAAAGCTGGCATCACAAAAGCTGGAAAGGAGATGGTGTTCAACTTAGTGCTAACATTTTCTGCTTGGGTGCATTTTACTAAGGCTAGCTGTGCCCAGGTTTTGTTATTTGGGAAATATGCTTTTTGCTTTATGGTGTCTTGTCATCACTGTGACATTGTCATGCAAACAGCAGCCACTGCACCTAGTCAAGAAATAGTTCCACACATACAGCACTATAACCCTACATAAAACCCCAGCATGTCACAGCAAAGCTGTGCAAAAGTTTTAGGCACTTTAGATGTTTCAGTTCTTATCCTCTTGACCCAGGTGTCCTAGGTTCTAGCTAATTATAGACCAATATCCCCTTTATTTCCAAAATCCTTGAAAAAGCTGTTGCAAAGCAGTTATGTGACCACTTGCACAAGAATGATTTGTTTGAGGATTTTCAGTCAGGATTTAGAGTCCATCATAGTACAGAAACCGCATTGGTGAAAGTCCCCAATGATCTTCTCCTAGCCTCAGATAAAGGACTTGCCTCCATACTTGTCCTCTTAGATCTCAGTGCTGCTTTTGACCCCATTGATCACAGCATCTTACTGCAGAGACTTGAACATGTTATTGGGATTAAAGGAACTGTGCAGACGATACTCACATCTTATTTATCAGAAAGATTTCAGTTTGTTCATGTTAATGACGAATGTTCCACA